GGAATCATTAATTCCAAGCTTTAGGGCACAAACCCCCTTCATCAGCCATAGGAGAAAAGACTAAAAGTTCTCCTGGGTAGAAATGAAAGTTCATATTTCATAGGAGAGTTGAAGATCTGTTTGGAACAGTTCGTTTTATATGCAGATTAGGCACAGAGAAAAATTGGAATAGACTGTTTACCTCAAAGTTGTTTGGTAAGCTGGATGTAGTCATATTTCCTTCTGGTTATGGTGTTGCACATTTCACAGAGAAGTCAATAGTAGGGCTGTGTGAAGCTTCAGTCCCTGATTCAATTCAGCAGAGATTTGGCCCAATTCAGTGGCTGAATCTCTGAATCCAAATCAAATCAGGAGACCCTTTAATCTCTCCAAATCAAATTGGAACCCTCTAAATTGATTTGGAGACATTCGGAAAGATTGGACGATTCAGATATAGACACAGTTTTAAATGTTTTTTCTACGTACCTCAAGGTACCAGGCGCCTTGTGAATGCTGTGATGGTGGGGTGGATGGAGCGTCCCGCAGGAGCTCAGGGGAATCCCCAGTGCACTCAACAGCAGACCCAGAAGTGGACCAGAAGCACTTCCAGTCCACTTCTGGGTCTTCCGGGAGCGCGCCACCCCCAACCTGCTCAGCGACTGGTGCTACCTGGGTCTGGGGCGGCACCTGGGGTCCCCTCCGCAACTAATCACCAAGACAGGAGGGTATGGGAGGGCCCTCCTGCATGCTCAGCGGAGGACCTGGAAGTGGACCAGAAGTACTTCTGGTCCACTTCTGAGTTCACCACCAAGCACACGGGGTGGAGGGGCTCGCGCTCCTGTGGGATGCTCCATCCTCCCCAACATCGCAGTATTCACGAGCTGCGCCTGGCACCTCAAGGTACATAGAAAAAACATTTAAAGGTGCATCTACAGCCAAATCGCTGATTCTTCAAATCAGCATTGAATCTTCAGATTCGGCCAAATCAAATCAAGGACAGTGATCCAAATCAACGAATCAAATCACTGTCCCCGCTTCAGACCAAATCGAATACAGCCCATTTTGCACACCCCTAGTAAATAGATGGAATGCTCTTCTGGGCAGGCATTTTCTTATGTGGTAAGGTGTCTCTGCACGATGAGGCTCTGTGATGATGCAAATTACCTCAAACAAAAGCAGGAGCAGGGTCTCAGGTTTCAGGTGATCAGACTAGAAATCCAGAAATTTCAATAGGAATTCATAGTGTTCAAAACAATTTGACCTATTATGGTCTTTCTGAGTTAGTTGCAATAGAAGAATTGTTCAGTATTTTTCCATAGTCAAGAAAAGAATGAAAGCTAAGAGCTGGCATTTTCTGAGGGGGCCTTGAGTCTGAAAAAGTTGAGAACCACTGATCTAATCTATCTTCCCATATGGCTCATTGATATTTTAGTAAGCCACTGTGCATATCCCCTATATTAATTGTTATGAAACTCTTGGAATGTTCTTAAATGTCTGAGCAAAATAGTATTGCAGTAAGGAAATCTGTGGTGTGTAGGTGTGATGAAAAAGCTGCATGAAGAATCAGTAAAACAAAAAGGAGTCATTACACCATCACTGAACCAGGTGTTGTAATTTAAACCATACCTATTCAATCTGCTTATGTTATGACTAACTAGATCTCCTCCTCCATTCCCAAACTTCTGTTTTTGAATTTTTCTAGTTTCCAGGTTTTACACAGTATTAAAGCAGTAATAGTAAAACTCAGGAGCATCATGTTTCTCATCTACTCAGAAC